CTTTAAAAATGCTCTACTGAACCTCTTTTCAAATTCTTATCTTCTGTTTTATCAACAAAACAAAAAAGAATAACTGTAAAAAATATCTGCTCTTGGATACTACTGATATAGTTAAGCTTGCTTCATAGTCTTCACTTTATATCTTGTAATATCTGGCGTACAATCTTTTAATCCTGGTATCTATGGTGAGTAAATTGATCATGTAGCTCTTCAACTCTTTCGATTATTTACACATCCTTGGCTTTCAGATATTCAGTTTTGGGTGTTCCTCGTGAAGGCAAATCTAGAGAAGCGTCTAATCTCATGAAATATATAAAGTGTTGTTTTCATTTTTTACAAAATGCCTAGACGAAGTAGCGAAGGATTATAGACTTAAAATAATGAATACATCCGGTTGTTCGAATGTCAACTTTTCGGGTTCCGGGCAAAATATTTTGAGTCATAAACAATATCCTTACCAAACTGTAAATGGAAAAGCCCCATGCATGAAATAAATTTCTTTCGATATCTCAGCATATGTGTCCATCTGATAGCGATACTAAAACGATACTCGAGTTGGTATGTCGAAGGTCAAGGTCTTACTCCTTAACAGTAGACAATTTTGGATACGTTTCGCTTTCGTTTTCAGACTATTTCTTTTTGAGTTATGAATAAGACTTTTACCAATATTGGTAGATTTTGCACCTCCAACATTAACCAAACATTGCCTGAAAACGCCTCAAGGAAAAACAAAACTCCTGTTGATTTATGGTCAGTGTGTCAAAGGTCATGAATACCGTGCATATGAATACGAAATTTAAGGAAATATGATATCTTCCAAGCAACAGTAGTCTACCGATGTTCAAATTCTTATACCTCGATTCAGATTAAGAATACAAATTAAGGTAACAAGCGAAAACTGAGGGAATTGCCATGAAATCACAAAGGAGCAAGGCCGGGTAAAATCAGAGCTTTACCAAGCCTTGGTGGATAAAAAAAGTATGAAATAAGAGGTAACTTGTTCAAAGGTCACAGCATAAATTCTGACTGAAAGTGTCAGATTTCATTATCTTCATCACCACAAAAAATAAACAGTACATACAAAAAAAAACTCCTTTCTTTACAACAAATCCAGATCTTAATTCGGCTAAGGCATACATGGTGGACCTTTATATATAATTTTGCTAAAATCACTTCAGAAATTGACTTTGCAAAGAGCATCACTAGTTCTTGAAACTATGATTTCGATGTTAAGATGTCAACTACGCAGTTATGGTGTTACAGGAACTATTGTTGGTCTGTTTGTAATTTTCCTGTTGTGCCTGATGTTCCAAGTCTTTCTAGGCTTAATTGTTTTATTGCTATTTTTATTTTTCACTCCCTTGTGTTTCAGATAAATAATCAACTTATTATTGTCAAAGATCATTATTTTTTTAAAGGGAGTTACATATCGTTGATCTTCTCAAATGGACCAGAATATGTAAAAAATCATCAACGACTTCTTTTATACCTAGTAAAGTGCAAATTTCAGGTAAAAAGAAAGTTTATAACATTCATGGATACTTTCTTAAAAAAGATATGAATCAAATAATATAGTTTGGATATTTTCGAAAGAAGTTTTTTTTATTACAAAAACGTTGTACTAAAATCGATAAAACAAATTAGTGCTCTTTTGGTTTTGTTTCTGTAAACAGACACTACAGCAAATGTGTTCCTTGTTTAGCTATTGTTCTATACCGAGATGCTAAAAAAGAGAAAATAAATTTCGATAATTTCATTACAACTTCTTTTACTTAAGTAGATAAGTCTTTACGGTAACATGTCTCAACAACGACAGAACTTTAAGCTTATTTCCCACTATTTACTGGTTTCCAAAACTACACATGAAACAGGTTTCCATTTACATCTGTTTGCAGTAAATGCTCAACTACAGATATTTCTGTTTTGCTGAATGGTGCTCTTTCAGTGTTAAGGAAACTTCATGACCAAGTGGTAAAACTCATCCAAGATACAAGCTTATAATACGGTACGACTGACGCAAGTTTTGTCTAGATTTAACTTGGTAAATTAAGGCAACGCATGAACTCCAAAAGGAGTGAGACCGGGTGCATAGCATCTCCGGCTATGCATGCGTCCCCGCCATGTAACTCCACACTCAGTCAAAGTGTCACAATCGGGAACAACATTGCAGATTAGACGACTATTCTAGTATCTAAAGATACTTTATACTTTATATGACAAAGTAAGCGGTAATAATAATTATTTTTATATTATATTTTAAAAGCTAAAAGGGCATAACCAATATGTCTCATTTACTTTATACCAGTATGGAAGCACTGGCTACTACTAGTTGCATGATACCATCAGTAACTGACAGTCCGACAACAGGCTCGACAATCATGTGGAATCATAGTAATCAATTTTGTGGTCAGAAATATTCTCTTAATACTTATTGATATGTAAAACTCTTTTAGTGTCTAGCTTTAATTATCAAAAGGTATAAGATAAAAGATAAACCCAATATATTTTGGTTGAGAACATTTATTGAAACCATTAATAATTTACATTTAAATGAATTGGCGAAACTGACAGATAATTCAGTTCTAATGTTAAAATTCTGAAATTTGAATACATCAATTTTTTAATAACCTATGGACAATTCATATTCAAATTCCGCAAATAACAAATACAGTAACCCAATATTCCATTTATAATTGCCACTGTGTGAATCATTATGTTGTTCATTTACAGATTGTATTATTCAATTATCCTTTTAAAAATTAAAAGGACTATGGGTAATCTTATTGTTCGTACACCAACAAGAAAGTAAGGTTACGTCATTTGTTCAATTTTTATTGTTTAGGACGTGAAACCAATCACGTTTTGGTATTCGCTTTTGGAAATATTACCCAGAATGCATTAGATTCTGATCCGGCGAATTGGCTAAATCTAGGTTGAAAAACGCGATTTTTATTACGTTAAAACACAACAATTAAACTGGAAGCTCTAAAAAGCCTGTGTCACTCATCAATGTCTTTGTCAATCTTCAACATTGTAGACTAGAATAGAAATCATGACAAAAAACTCTTGTTTGTTCATCTTGTTTTGTTGATTGTTTTTTTAATTTTGTTTACAGTTTCACATGATCTTCTTTCGATTTTGTCCCCAAAAAAAGTCGTCATTTCAGGGCAATCACTCCTATAAAGTCTACTACCGATTTCTTCAAAATTTGATTTATTTGTAGATCTTGACTTGCAGATCATTTTTGCTATTTAAAGTGTCTATCTTTTATAGTTTTCAAGATAACAGCCCAAAACGCATACAAATTTGAAAAAAAAATCGTCATTAAAGAGCACTACTTCCAATTAGGAGTCAAATGACGATTTTCGCCATTTCACCTATTTGTAGATTTGGTCTTGCTGCTTCTTTTTTACTACTTTAAATTCTATGTTCTATTTTTAGCCATGTTGGTTGGCAGGCAGGATCTTTTGACACATTTTTTAAACTAAATAACCCAATGATGATTGTCACCAAGTTCGGTTAAATGTGGACAAGTAGTTTCAGAGGAAAATATATTTGTAAAAGTTAACACAGACAGATGATGGACGAAAACTGATGAGAAAAGCTCACTTGGTCACAGTATGACTTTGTTTTTGAAAAAAAAACTCTGTTCTTTTTTTGTTTTGTTTTGTTTGATTTTAATGTTTTTTTTAGAGGGAAGGGAAGCTTGGCTAAAGAGGGGTCATGTTGTATATACTGTAATACATATTGTATAAATGTATGAAATTTAATGCAATCTCATATAAACTGTCAAAAATTTCACAAGTAATTATTTTACGAAAATATTAGTAACCAATGGCATATCATGCCTTACGCCACAGTGGTTTATTATAATCAACACCCCGAACTTAATGTTTTAAGCATACCTTAATGTTAGTCAAGGGCACTAATACAGATTTAAATCTGAAATGGACTTGCTACATAAATTAGGCTGTTAGTTTTCTCGTTCGAATTGTTTTACATTGTCATTTCAGGGCCTTTTATAGCTGACTGTGCGGTATGGGCTTTGCTCATTGTTGAAGGCCGTACGGTGACCTATTGTTGTTAATTTCTGTGTCATTTGGTCTCTTGTGGAGAGTTTTCTCATTGGCAATCATACCACATCTTCTTTTTTATATTGATCAGAAAACTAATCATTTCATGTTGACAATAATAAACATAAGAAATATAACAGCAATGTCTCCATTTTTAGGATATACAACAAAAACAGACAAAAGCAGAGCAATAAGCTGTAAATTTCATTAAATTGTGCGTCTTATTCAAAGGGTTTAATTAATTCAAAATGCGTCAGTTGGACTGACTTTGTGAGATTTGTGATTAGCAATTTTATTTCCAAAAACAAATAAGCAGTGCAATATATCTGCAAGGATTAATGCAATTGAAACAAAAAATTGCCTTTCCCATCATTTTTCCCAATGCAATCAGGGCATTTAAAAAATTCTCATTCCAAATCTGACAAATGTGGTGAAAAAAGTCATTTCACTTAATTTCAATTTTCCAAAGACCGGATGGAGACAATATTTTCTCCAAGTATATTTTAAAAGATGGACGACCAACAGATAGTAGATGTCAATTGATGAGTAAACTCACAATGGAACTTTGGACCAGTTGAGATAAATAAAACAAGTACACACATTTTCATTCTTAGCATACCCCTACTCTTAATTTAAAATATCAGAAAACAAAGAGTAGTTGTCAGATCCGAAAAGCACTCAAATGTAACAAATCATCAATGTTGAGCTTGTGATGCTGTGTAAAAAATCATTATGCACAGTTGCAGTGGAGTATTGGCAAACAGGAAGAAGGTGTCTAACAGGTATTTAAACATTATATCTCATCAATCTCAAGTTGCTGACCAAATATGAAGTAGAAGCTGAGGAGAGTGGGACAGATATTCGAATGGACAAGGTAAATGCAATATAAACTCTATGCCTAGAGATGGATATAATAATAATAAGACAACATTTTAACATTTAATTGATTCTATTTTGCAAATCAAGATGTGAAATATTTCAAAACAAATATCAATTTATTTACCAGTATCTGTTAAATTCGACCTTGATCTGGAACAAAACCAGTTATGGGTGTTCTTTTCAAAAAAATAAGATGTACAACATTCGATAAAATGCAATACATGACTATTTGAAGGTGAAGGAAACAAGAAGTTACAGGTGATGTCATACAAAGTATGCATCCATTTGAGGAAACATTCAATTCTTTAGTAGGTATAATAAAAATCAAAAGAATTCTCAAACAGACATGGGCTTCCCAGCTGATATTAAAATAGGGTACATGGTACAAATCATTATCATAAAGTTAAAGATAAAATATTAAATCATTCCTTAATACAAAAGCTGAGTAATATGCTACAAAAAATTCCATGCTCAGTTGGTATCATAAAAGTTCTAAATATTATCAAACAAAAAATGTCTGCCCAGCAAATCTGAAAATCCCTTACACAGTAGAACATAACTATATGAAGACAAAAACAGACATTACCATGGTTTAAACAATCAAAAGTGATCGACATCACTGGTGGAAATATTTGATAACGTGTTGCATAATTTCATTCATATTTTAGTCAAAAATTGGTAGTTGACAAAATTTGCTTTAGTATAGCACTATTATAGATCTTCTGAAAGATAATTATTTTTTTCAGTAGTTAAATGTGCTAAACCTGTATCAAAGTCAGTGCATCACTAAATTCTAATAACTATTTCTTTAAAATTGCAATTTTAATATTTGTATCCATAAATTCATAGTTTTAAGTCTGAGCAATACATGTTTTGAAACAGAAGAAATTACAGAATAAAGTTTCCTTTAAAAAAAAAGTTTCCAGTTTCTTTTGTTTAAAGTTTTCCTTATTGTTTCGAGCAATTCATCTGTAATTGTAACCTAAATTATGGATTAATAGCTTACAATTATGGCACTGATTTTGTAACTGCTATTATAGTTTTCAAGATTTTTGCCTCGTCAGATTTTCTCAATATATATACAGATTTTCAAGATAATAGACCGTAGTGGATTATTGTTCCTTTGACCAAGATAGTTGTCAATCTTATTGGTAATGTATCAGTACTATTACTTAATAAAAAAAAAGTTCAAACTAGTCAGCAAATTGATAAAACTGATGACATTCATACCTGAGTAAACTGCTTAATAAATTGTTTTTCTATTCATTTGTGCATATTTATATAGACATGAGAGCTACTTTTCAGCGTGTATAAATTTGGTGGCTAACCTGGTTCACATTCTATTCAATGATGATTATGCCTTAGGAAAGAATTGGAACACTAGTTCCAGTCTTCCTCAAATTAGCAACAAAAAGACAAAGATGGTCCACAAAAGACAGTAACTCAATAACACAAATAACAAAAACATCTAGAGTTTAACAAAGGGTCACACAAAGTTTACTTTTACAAGTTTCAAACGAAATCAGAATTTAATTTCAGAATTTTCTGATCATCAAAAATATCCAAGATTTGTAGGTAGAATTTTACTTTTATTTCAATCTGAAGTAAAGAAATTGCAATCAATGTAATCCTATTTGATTAATGACCATATAATATTCCCCAGATAATTTGACTTGGGATTTACAACACTTAATGCATAGTTTGAATAAAACTATAGATTATTTTACATACTGTTAAAGTTTAAGCATTCCATGTGATTTTATCTTTCTTATAGGAAAAGTTTAGGATCAGAAGATATTATATTTTCAATGAAAAGTATGACCAAATCTACTGAGCTTAGAGACAGAGGTTAGCTGATTTACTGATAACAATTCTTATAGACTTTTTTAAATATCAGTTTTTCAAGTTGTCATGTTTAAAAGAAAATCAAATTTCAGACTTTATTTTACAAAGAAGCGACTGGAACAACACATTATAAAACTCCATCCCAATGTAAGGTTCCATGGTAAACCAAAATTAAACTCCTAGGACAAATGTGCAGCTATTCATTATACAATAATACACCACATATCAGCTCATTATCTGCAAGAAAGGCTAACAGGTGAGGACAAATCTTATTTAGGATGACATTTTAGTATTCATGTTGTTGAAGTAAGTCAATAGTATGTTAACCACAACAGAGATCACCACATAAAAATGTTCAACGGTGGAGCTCATAAAATAAGGTTTTTAACAGTTTAAAAATATTTATATTTCAAACCTTTTGCAATATTCTTATCAAATATATGTACATATATGAATACATCTTAATTTTATGACAAAAAAAAATAAAACTTAGTCATTGTCTTTCAAATTAATTATACTGATAAAGAATATTTTCCAAACTTATCTCATATAAACTCAAAATTCAAGATTTATTCTGAGATAATCATATATCAAGTTCATCAAATATTTTACATATAGATTTTAAAAAAAATATATAACATGCACCAAAGCTGCCAATATTACTTAGTTACATGGATGTGGCAATCTTTAATATAAACAAATCTCAAATGACAAGATATTGAATGAATAATGGACAACCTGACAAAAATTTGAAATTAAGCAGAAAATACATTATACAATCCTGTAAATGTCCAAACAATCCATACAAACAGTTTTAATTTTAGTCAATAGGACATGTAATTCATATAAATGACAGTGTTCTGCCCAGGTAAAATGTTGCATGTTTCACACATCTTTTTTTCAATACTAAGCATGAAAATAAAGTAACTGTGTGTATCTTTTTGTTGTTTACATTACCAAAATGTTTGTAGATAGTAGAGAAAAAGTCAATTACTGTTTTTAGATTGATAGTGTGTGTATATAAATCAAGATTTTCAGTTATCTGTTCTCTGGCTGTTGGAAGACCGAATTCACAGCTCATAAGGAATTACACAAAACGACAAATTAAGGGAGGATCACAGATTTTTTCCATGGTCCTTCAAGTTTGAAAGACATAAAGACACCTAGCTTCCCATTAGTGCTAATTGGTACCAAATAACTATGCTGTCCAGTCAGAAGCTATGAAAAAAATAACCATCACAGGTTCCAGAATGAGTAGAAGGAGGTACGAGAAGTGTAAAACATGATTAATATTCTAACTTCTAACAGTTTGTGGTGTGGCTGTTCAATTAAAAAAAAAATTAGTTAAATAGATATTAAATATATATATTTAAGATTGTTGCATCAACATGATTGCCAGTTTAGCAAGCGTAGGGTCAAGCACCCAAATGGGATGTTATATCCAACTCCCAAAAGGGTTTTTTAAATTAATTTTTCAGTTTTATAGTATAACAGTGGAAAATACGGCAAGATATAATTAAATAACTTTTTTATTAGCAATTTTTCCGAATAGCGGATTGGTTTTTTAGATTGATCCCTTAGAAAAAATAAAGATTTACATAGGGATCAATTCATAAACACTTCTTCAGATATGGAAAAATCATTAACCAAAAATTGCTAGTACTGGTCTGAACAAACACATATTGTAATACTTGACCCAAAATGAAAATAAAGAAATTGGACGGTATCTTTATGTTCCATTTGGGATATTATTCCCAAAACAGATTTTTATATCCCAATTCAGTGATTGCTACCAACCTGTTTGCTGCTTAAAAATATTCCCCCCACTGACACAGAATTTTCAGTCATAAAAATTATTCAAATGAGTGAATTTGACAAGCAATTGCAAAACCTGGGCAAAGCAGTGATGAGATAATCAAATGATTCAAAGATTCCAATGAAAACGTACAAATGGTGACCTATAGTTATTATTTCTGTGTCATTTGGTCTCTTGTGGAGAGTTGTCTCATTGGCAATCATACCACATCTTCTTATTTTTATAAACATGAAAATGTAGTTTTCTATGGAATGAAATTGGCTTCAGCATGAATAAAATAACTATAGGTGTTTGGACATTACATCACACAATATAACAATTATAAATGCAATCAATCCTATTATGTAAACATATAAGACTGAGGTACAGTTTGTAACTAAAAAGAATGGATATATTCAAATCAAGTGTCAACTTTCCATATCTTCAAAAACATTTTTATGAGATTTTTGGTTGAATCTATTTTGAATTGTTTTCCATATATTATCTAACTTTTTGCAATTTAATTATCAAATTTTAACCTTAATTTTTCATGATACATTATTCAAATCATTAACAAATTCCTATTCTTCAAACTGAAGCAACATATCAGGTAGCTTAGGCACTGTATAGTAAGTAACCTAACAGTTATTCATAAACAATCTGTCATTTTCTCAGGAGACTCATCATGAATTTTTCTTCAAAAAAATATATGTGAGATTCTCACTGAAATCTGGAAAGCCGACACCTATGCATTTATCAAAACTAACAAAACTTAGAAAAAAAATAAGCCCAAAATAATCATATAAAGCCCTCTATTGTTAAAACTCCCTGAAATATTGGTCAAAGACCAGCCAATGCTCTGAATATCAACATTCCTTGTGAATGAATATCTAGATTAACTGTCTCATTAGCAGATATAAACAGAGTAGATCCTGCCCGAACACCTAGAGGTGCGCTTAATGTAGAATTAGTGGCAATGCCTTCACCGCTCTGTACCATTACAATACTAGCACTGTCTAAAGGTTGCAGAGTTGCTTTAGTACATCCACTTGATACCTACAATAACAAAATGCTGTAAAATTAGATCACTGAAAACTGAAGTAGAGCAAGCTCACAAAATGATACCAGCCTGTACTCATATTCATATACAATTTATTGACCTTCTCCAAAAAAACAGATATTTCAAACAAATTCTCAACAAACTTCTGGTGGTGTGCAACAATGATATCAAGCATCGCATATATATCCTTCAAGGCATTCAAAAGTTCTCAATTGGACCACCATCATAGTTGAATATGGGGATAAATGATAATTATAATTTTCAATAATTGAGTCTATGAAATTAGTATCTTTTTTTATGGAAAACTTTTTGACCTCACTTAAAGAAATGACTTTGAACACAACATTTGTCCATTTTGTATATATAGATAAAGATAAGGAGATGTGGTATTACTTCCCAATGAAACAACTATCCAACTAGTCCAAATGACGTGGATATAAGCAATTATAGTTTTTTAGCAATTCTCCCCTAACCTGACAAAGTGGTGTAACAGAACAACATAAGAACAAACTGTAACTAGAGGCTCTCAAGAGCCTGTGTCGCTCACCTGTATCGACTGTTGTTTGGGAAATCATGTAAAATAAGGTTAAAATCATAATTAATAGTATAAGATACCCTAATAATGCTTGAGGCCAAGTTTGGTTTAACAATAGTTACTGAAGACCCCTTATCATTATTTAAATTAATTTTCAAGTTGTGACCATTTGAAATTGTTTTTTTTTAATTTTCCCTTCGACTTCTATAGTAAACCCCTATGTTCTATTTTTAGCCATGGCGGCCATGTTGGTGGGATGACAGGGTTATCGGATACATTTTTCAAACAAGATGCCCTATTGAAAATTGTGGCTAAGTTTAATTCTATTTGGCCCAGTAGATTGAGTGAAGAAGACTTTTGTAAAAGATTACAAAAATTTACAAAAATTGACTATAAAGGGCAATAACTCCTTAAGGGGTCAATTGACAATTTTGGTCATATTAACTTGTTTGTAGGTTGTACTTTGCTGAACATTATTGCTGTTTACAGTTTATCTCTATCTATAATAATAAATAAGATAATAACCAAAAACTGCAAAATTTCCTTAAAATAACCATGATAACCAATTCCATGAATTCAGGGGCAGCAACCTGGTACATCTAAAAATTTTGGGGCAGATAGATCTTGACCTGATGAACATTTTTACCCCATGTCAGATTTGCTCTACCGGTATACGCTTTAGTTTCAGAGATATAAGCCAAACTGCATTTTACCCCCTCCCCCCCCCCCCCCCCCCCGTGTTCTATTTTGAGCAATGGTGGCCATCTTGGTTGATGGGCAGGGTCATCTGATAAAATTTTGAACTAAATACCCTAAGCATGATTTAGGCCAAGTTTGGTTTAATTTGGCCCAGTAGTTTCAGAGGAGAAGATTTTTGTAAAAGTTAAAGGACAACGACAGGTGATGAGAAAAGCTCACTTGGCCCTTTTGGTCAGTTGTAAATAGCTAAAAATCAGTTGTTAATAGCTTAACTCATTAGATTGGTACAAAAACACCTAACATAAAAACAATAGACACAAAACATCAAAATAAAAGTACTCAGTTACTGAAAGCTAGGTCAAAGCCAATTACAACTAATAAATAAATCACTTTCTACAAGACATTTCAATGGATATATAAACACTTACTTTTTTTGGTGTGAAGTACTATGCATTTGTATAAATTTTAGGGTAATTCTACTTAAATACTATATATGCCATGCATACCGGGTAGATAAAACAAGGAACAGTGCAATACTAGTTCCTACTTTATTTGCATCAGGGCTTTTCCAGAAAAAATACCAAGGGGTCACAACTCTAACAATCTTGATGGGGATCAATTTCATTATTTGTATTGTTAGTATAAAAATAAGAAGATGTGGTATGATTGTTAATGAGACAACTCTCCCAAGTCCAAATTACATAAAAGTAAGCAAATATGGGTCACCGTATAGCCTTCATCAATGAGCACAAACCCATATCGCATAGCAAACTATAAAAGTTTTACTGAAAAAATAGTTAGAATTCTGATAGTGCTACCCCTAAATAAGAATTATTTCTGACTTGCAAATGAATACTGTCAATTTACATTACTGAGGATTGTTTCAATGAAGACAATCCATCATTCTAATCACGATTTTTATTGGACAACATCATATATTTTGAGGGGGTAAATTCCATGGTTTACCAGTCTGTAACTCAGGGAGGCCACCATTTTGAAACAAAATAATCAGATGTCTAACCTATTAATCTACTTTTTGTTAAATTTTATTTCATTTTCAAGTATACATATATAAAGCTTATGAATGTCTGGTGTATTGTTTGATGCTGGAAGTATATCTATGACATACTGCTAAGGGTCAAAGACAAGAACTTTTCAAGTAATTTTTGAATTATGAGATCTTTACACAGAAATGAAGTCTTAAAAAGAATGTTTTGTTTATTTTGCCTTAGATTGGAGATAATTTGTATTTTAAGCTTGGCCTATTGAAGCCAGGTGCAAAAAATCAAATTCTAGAAATTTGAGAAATTCCTATTTGTCAAATAGGCTTTGACAGGTATGTTGATGATATCAATTTCATTATTTCACTAGTGCTTTAAGTGCACTGCACTATTGGGAAAAAATGTTTATATTTCTTTTGGTGCATAACATGAACAAAGTTTTGGAACATTCAAAAACCAGAAATATTTCATTATTTATTAATTGTTCTGAATATTTTGTTATTTTTTGTTCTTGAAGTATTGTTTAAATTAAAGGGTAGCAGTCATAATGATATGAAATCATTAAACAAAGCACTTTAATTGATTGCAACATAAACAAGTTAAAAGCACCATATGGTGTTATTGGCTGGAATTACCCTGCTAGTGAGAACTATGACTTAGTGGTCATGAAACGTAAAATGGTACAAAAAAAAAAATAACATGAAAAATAGTCAGTACATGTATTTCATGTGTTTGCTAAAAACTTTTATCTGCGTTTAACAGTGTATTTTCTGTTGAAAAAAAAATTCTCAACTGATATTTCAGAAGCATGAATAAGCTAAAATTTATTTCGATGTCCATCCATGTGTAGTTCATAAAAATAATTAGTATATTTTTGAATGGTTAAAATGAATTCTTTGGAGAAAAGTGTTCTATTGCTTGATAGTCAGTACAGTTGTTGATAGTAGCATGCATTACAGTTGTAGTCTGCATCCTCGAGGCACTTTATAATTAAAAAAGAAATAACCTCAGTACAATCCAAAGTAAATAAAAGGCACACCTGTAACTGTATTGCTCTCTTGGTGAACAAATTGCCAGTTTTCTAATTAGGACTTTATATGCACATACTAAAATTAACTCTTTGAGTTGCTGACCATTTTTGGAATTTACATGTTCAACCTAGCTGCTATAGGTTTTTCAATAACAACCAAAACTGATTTTTTTTTAGTAAAATTCAACATTTCAGGGGCAATTACTCCAAAATAGGTTGCCAGACTTTCTCTAATTTTCAGGGTAGATTCATCTTGTTGTAATGAACCTTTTAGCAATTTACTTTTAACCTAGCACCTATTGTTTTCATGATAACAAGCAACAACTGCTAAAAATTGGAACAAATAAATGTTTCAGGGGCAATTACTCCACAACAGATTTTTCTTCAATTTTCAGAGTGAAATCATCCTGTAATGCTGATCATTTTTTTCAATTTGCACTTTTAAACTAGCTCCTAAATTTTTGAAACAATGGCAAGAAAATCCAAAAAACAAGCATTCTGTGAGTATTGCATGGCAACACATAGTCCCCCACCGGTTACAAATTCATTGGCATGATTCTTATTTTCTTCTTTTTTCTTTGGATACAAATTTAACACCATTTTAATATACTTCCAGATAATAGGAAATTACCTCTATAACATTGACTGCAAAATCATATATAGGTGGTGTAAAGTAGATCTCCTCTATTCCTGATTGGGAATTATCTATTTTTGATGGTTTTAGTTTTGTTCTCGAAATTGGACGGCCTGTATAATCTAACATTTCACACAGTGTATGAACATCTCTAAACTTTGGTGTAAGTCCTGCTCTAACTACATTATCAGAACATGCCATACATTCCATACAATCTGTGAATAAAAATAAAACAATTGTTAATTAAAGAACCTTCAATGAGCAAGCTTACACAACCCTATACCCCCAAATATAATTCGGAAAAGCTTATGGTGACAGGTTGACAGAATCGATTTTGTAGGTAAATATAGATTCTAGCACTGCATCGAGGATGAAATAATATTTCACCACTCGAGACAGTTAAATTTTTAAATTTAAAAGGTAAGGTTGGCCAAGCATTTTAAAAACAGTCGACTCTCATTATCTCAAAGTCAGCTTTTGTCTTTTATTCATTTCTTTGCACAGTTACAATTTTTTCCTGTGGTTTTTAGCTGAGAGAGTAATTTCCAACCAATCTTGGCGTTATTTAAAGTTGACAAAATTGTTCATTCTCGTATACAAGTGATTTTAGAAAATTTAGATTTCTTTTCATTTTTCTGCAAGAGAAAATACAAAAAGATTAAAGACGCCGATTGAGTAGTTTTGAGTTGATCACCAACGGAAATCTTCTAAATTCCTACTTTATACACAACCAAGCTCATTAGTTTATATTAAGGGTTAATTGTTTTTTTTAACATTTTAAATAATTTTTCATAAACTATAACAATTTATCACTAATTATTTATCATGGTGATCAAAGATAATCTTATGTAAACACTCGTGAAAAAAGAATGTCATAAATCAATACAATGGTCAGTGACCGGAAATCTAATTACACATGTATTGTCAGATTAACTCTTCAATCCATTTAAATCCCTGAGGTCATGTTTTGACATTTGTGTATTAGTTCGAGATAAATAATGAATTTTGAATGCTTTTGATAACCTTGGGACCATAAATTTAGATCGAGTCAGCCGAAATTTCGACTCATCGGGAGTCGAAATACATACATTTATATGGAACAAAGTTTGGGACCGCGAGAGAACTTCGACTCATCCTAAATTTCGAGACAACAAGGGTTAACTATACTTAAAATTCAATTGTCGAGCGTAGAAATATAGTATTGCACGAGATTTGGTAATAGAATATGTTTCTCTAATGACTTTTAGACGATATGCAGACACAATTAATCCTTTTTTTCCCTAATGATCTGCAAAAAAATGTGTTCTTTTTATGTTACTTCATCAGGCATGGTCACCTTTTTTCATGACTTCACAATAGGAAATAGAAAATCGGCATTATAGAAAATTTGTAATTCATTGAACACTTAATTTCCTGATTCATCTGTATCCACAAAATCCACGAAAATTGGTATCCAACAAATAATAATGATTCCACAGTATTATATATTTCTGCATAATTAAAAATTATTTTGGATTCCATCAACCATTTAAATATTACTTTTTAAGGGCAAGCCAAACACTAACATGGACCGTTGTGAAACATCAGTTTACTGAAAATATGATGGCCTATTTATTTCACTTTCAGATTTATTTCATTGTAATCTGTGAAAATGAGGTCAAAGACACCTGTCAAATAGAATCTTAAAACAATAAGGTATCAGTATACAAAATATGGAGTGACATACAAAAAAAGATAAATCTGAATAAGTGGGTCTTCATTCTATTTCAAAAAAATTTCACTTGGTACCAAATTACTAAATCAAATATTCCTGTTAGAATCATGGAGGATAAGGACTCTACTTCCAATTTACTTGTAAGATTTATCATGTTTTTAAATTACTTCAAAAACAATCTGTTCAAATTAAAAGTTAAAAATAACTAGTCAATGTTATACATATCCTTACCTCCTGATAAATAAGCATGAGGATAGTCAGCCTCCAGAAAGATGGCTTCTCCTGGCTTCAGAGTTATAATGTTGAGGAAGTAAATAGCAAAATTACCAACATCTCCAGGAAATTCTGTGTTTAGTTTCTGTAACATTTCTGGTATCAAAATACTGGCATCCTTGCCCTCTGTATCTACAAATGAATCAATTAAATTTTGCTTCTGTAAATTGGAAAAATCAAGTCTGTAGGTACTTAAACCAAGAAATTAAAAAATAAATGTGGAATGTGTCCATGGGACACAGATGATGCCCCCACTTGCATATCATATAAAATTATAAACAGAACGGAAAAAAGTGACCCTACCCAAATTTGTACTTGATCTGATTTATGTGGTAATAAGTATTGTGTATAAATTTCATAAAATTTGGTTGAGGCAAACTTAGGTAAGAGAACGGAAACGAAAAATTCAGCAATTTTCCACTTGTAAAGGGGCATAACTCTAGAACGGTTAAAGTGACACCACTATAATTCAAACTTGATCTGTATTTTGTGATAATAAGCAGTGTATAAGTTTCATAGTATTTGGTTGAGGCAAACTAAAGTGAGAGAACGGAAACAAAAATTCAGCAATTTTTCCCTTTGTAAAGGGGCATAACTCTAGAATGGTTAAAGTGACACCACCAAAATTCAAGCTTGATCTGTATTTTGTGGTAATAAGCATTGTGTGTAAGTTTCATAGTATTTGGTTGAGGCAAACTAAAGTTAGAGAACAGAAAGGAAAAATTCAGCATTTTTTTCATTTGTAAAGGGGCATAACTCTAGACCGGTTAAAGTGACACCACCATAATTCAAACTTGATCTGTGTTTTGTGGTAATAAGCATTGTGTATAAGTTTCATAACATTTGGCAAACTAAAGTTAGAGAACGGAAACCAACTTTGGGACGTACGGACGGACGTAGGGACGGAAGTACGTACAGAAGGACAAGGGTAAAACTTAATGCCCCCTCCGCTACGACGGGGGTATAAAAACCTTGCATAATTGAAAATTCTCAATCATCTTTCCCAAAAATATTGAACAGAGAAGAAGGATTTAATTTCCTTCCAAAGAGGGAAGTTTGAGATCTAAATATCAAAGTGCTTGTGAGCACTGGAGTGTAAAGATTGTATTCATTTTGCAGATAAAACTAAAAATTAAGCATTGCATTTTATTATGCATTGGAAGGCAATAATATGAATTGGAGATATAATAGTAGATTCAACTACAATTATGTATAAAGGAAGATAACTTTTATTTTTAAGAAATTATTGATATTTTTAGAACAGATACTAGATTCATGCACCATGCACAAATTATGTAATTTTCTTGACAAGTGTGTCGTTATACACATTATTTTGTAACTTAAATATCTGAGCATATATTTGATTGATGAATCATGCTCATAGGTAGAATGTATAGAATGCTGTGCTCAATGCACTATGTTTTGTGTATATCAACAGTAGTGACAAAATATAGGAATTTATAACTAATAAACAAGCCATATAAGGGTTTTGATTAAATGGATGCAATCTTTACCCAAAAAACAGTGAAACCCTGCTACAAAGTCATGTGCCTATCCAAAGTAAAGTACCCTGTTAGTTATTGTCTCAAAGGTTCCGAAATATGCCTTGACGACCTGACATGGCAGACAAATTAAGGTTCAGTCAGACAAGTATATTGCCAATACGAAATGTCAGACAAATGTTTTCAAGTTTTATATGTGATCTTCATATCTGCCAGGTAAATTATATTTTGGTTAGGAAAAATTTTTATTACCTGACCTGATGTCAGTCACAAATTTCAAACTTTCGAGAAGACTAATATATTTTTTAACTTTTGTGGACTTTAGTGCTGATGGAAGATCTTTGTTATACTAATAAAATAAAACTGAAATGTACTTTTCATATACTAATAAAGCCTTATTAGGTAATCCTACATGTAGCTTTAGAGTCTGGTAAAGATTTTGTGTGATAACTTTATAATATTTGAATTATAGCCACCAGAAATATATCATAAGATTTGACAATACTGATTTAGTACATTTCCTACCAAAATTGTCTCCCTTCAATTTCAACTTCTTGTTGACATGTTGACCTTTTGACAATATGGCTGTTTTTATGAATCATAAAATGCTATTTCAAATCCAAGCCATCTTCTAATAGTGTTGATCAAAAATAGTATTCAAATACCTTTTTATTGAAGATTGGATATCAAACTAGATATTTTGATATTTACAAGATTTAGTGTTTCGTTTTTTCATTGAAGATTTTGTAAATAGCGATTCGTGGACAAGTTATTGTCTAATACGGGCTTGTAATGACTCCCTGAACAACTGGAATGCATCCCTTTAGCAATGCTGATTGAACAGTTTAGAAGAAAACACTAAACAATAATGAAATAATCGTAGAAGATTTAAAAGAGGGATAAGAACACATGCTTAGAGAAGGAGGTATATGTCAAATCGTGACTTCGTATTGAAAACATAGTTGTCCGACCAGGTTTGGGTTATTAAAATGAACTTACTGGTTTTCTGAAATTCTCTCTTTAATTTTCCCGCTTTGATTAGACAAGCAGGTTTCCATTTGGAAACAGTTTTTGTTTATTTTGCGGGGGAGAGGGTAGAAATGGGATTCACTGCAAAATATTTTACAGTCACCAGCTGGGCGATCAGGATGATAAAATATATAGGCCTAGCCGAAAATCTGGTCGCCTTGGTCGACTGAACCAGCGTTAAGTTTAGTCCCTGTATGTTGCCATAAAACAGTCTTATTTTCATCCCTACTATGTGCTTTGATGTGGACTGATTATTATTAAATATTGTGCCATTCAATTTGCTTCAGTTATAAGTGTTGTCTCATTGTAGAAAGATGTATGTTGGAGCAATTAAAAGATATATATCTGAAAATAATTCACTTCAAAAAGACACAAAAATGATCTATCCCATATTATGTGCCAGTATCTGAAACTATGTCAATCTTTGTTTCTATGGACAACTGATTCAACAAGAAAACACCTCACACCTTCTTGGTAATCTGAACTAAATTATGCTTTTAATAATAATATGTGAAAGATTATCTTACTGAATTGATCAACAAGCATAAATAACTTCTTTAATTCCCTCTGCACGACATCTGTTTCTTGTTGCATCAGTCCTGTAAAGCAGTACTTCATAGCTTCTCTGTGTAGTGGCATGTCATTAGTTTTACTTGCTGTAATTAACTTAATGGCATTCTTACTACCAACTACTGTTCTAAATGGTTCTATTTCTGCAAATACATGTTACTGTTATTATAGCAATTGTCATGATTGTAAAGGACAGTTCAATAAATACAACTTAAGGAATAATGTACTGTTATTTGAATACTTACTTACATCAATCATTTACTTTTGCAAATTAGATTACACAATTGCAAAGGTTTAGCAAGTTTGCCACTTCAATAAAAAGGTTATATGATATACATACAGTATGGGCTCCGTCAGTTAAATTCATTTTTAATCAGCAGAAACTCTCCTATGTTTGTGCTGCTTAAAACTTATAATACAACTTTTCTGAATGAAGTTTATAACTAATGATTTTATTTCAATGATTTTTTTCTATATATATGGGCCTTATATTGAAGAGATATCAGTAAAATGTATCTTGATCTGAAAATTGCGATTGTAAAGTACTGCAACTCTGAAAATCATACTGGACCTATGTTTTGAAGTCAGTAACATTCCATATAAATTTCAATCCATTTAGTTCAACACAGAACATTTATTAATTTGATGCACTGTAATTCATAAAAGATGTCTAAGTGAAAGCATATAGGTAATTAAAAATATTTCCTCTGATAGACATGACCCTAAAAATCTTTATTGATGCTCACTTGTTAAAAAGTCTGCCACTTCTTGAATTGGTCTAAATCCACACATGGCTTTAAATGGGGTCAAAGCAATGGCCATTTCCGGTTTATGATTTGGATCTTTGTAGATGTCTGGTCTCTCTTTGTGTAGCTTTTCTGAATGAACCTGTATAGATAAACAACATCATTATACAAAATGACTTTTCTGAATGAACCTGTGTGAACTAACAACATCATTATACAAGATGACTCTTCTAAATGAACCTGTGTGAACTAACAACATCATTATACAAGATGACTCTTCTGAATGAACCTGTGTGAACTAACAACATCATTATACAAGATACTCTTTTAAATGAACCTGTGTGAACTAACAACATCATGATACAAGATGACTCTTCTGAACGAACCTGTGTGAACTAACAACATCATTATACAAAATGACTCTTCTGAACCAACCTGTGTGAACTAACAACATCATTATACAAGATGACTCTTCTGAACGAACCTGTGTGAACTTACAACATCATTATACAAGATGACTCTTCTGAACGAACCTGTGTGAACTTACAACATCATTATACAAGATGACTCTTCTAAATGAACCTGTGTGAACTAACAACATCATTATACAAGATGACTCTTCTAAATGAACCTGTGTGAACTAACAACATCATTATACAAAATGACTTGAACGAACCTGTGTGAACTAACAACATCATTATACAAGATGACTCTTCTAAATGAACCTGTGTGAACTAACATCATTATACAAGATGACTCTTCTAAATGAACCTGTGTGAACTAACAACATCATTTTACAAGATGACTCTTCTGAACGAACCTGTGTGAACTTACAACATCATTATACAAGATGACTCTTCTAAATGAACCTGTGTGAACTAACAACATCATTATACAAGATGACTCTTCTGAACGAACCTGTGTGAACTAACAACATCATTATACAAGATGACTCTTCTAAATATTCCTGTGTGAACAAACAACATCATTATACAAGATGACTTTTCTGAACGAACCTGTGTAAACTAACAACATCACTATACAAGATGACTTTTTTAGATGAACCTGTGTGAACTTACAACATAATTTTACAAGATGATTCTTCTGAACAACCTGTGTGAACTAACAACATCATTATACAAGATGACTTTTCTGAACAAACCTGTGCAAACTTACAACACCATTATACAAGATGACTCTTCTTAATGAACCTGTGTGAACTAACAACATCATTATACAAGATGACTCTTCTAAATGAACCTGTGTGAACTAACAACATAATTTTACAAGATGACTCTTCTGAACAACCTGTGTGAACTAACAACATCATTAGACAAGATGACTTTTCTGAACAAACCTGTGTGAACTTACAACACCATTATACAAGATGACTCTTCTGAATGAACCTGTGTGAACTAATAACATCATTATATAAGATGACTTTTCTGAATGAACCTATGCGAACTAACAATATCATTATACAAGATGACTCTTCTGAACGAATCTGTGTGAACTAACAACATCATTATACAAGATGACTCTTTTTAATATACCTGTGTGAACTAACAACATCATTATACAAGATGACTATTCTGAATGAACCTGTGTGAACTAACAACATCATTATACAAGATAACTCTTCTGAACGAACCTGTGTGAACTTACAACATCATTATACAGGATGACTCTTCTAAATGAACCTGTGTGAACTAACAACATCATTATACAAGATGACTCTTCTAAATGAACCTGTGTGAACTAACAACATCATTTTACAAAATGACTCTTCTGTATGAACCTGTGTGAACTAACAACATCATTATACAAGATGACTCTTCTAAATGAACCTGTGTGAACTAACAACATCATTATACAAGATGACTCTTCTGAACGAACCTGTGTGAACTAACAACATCATTATACAAGATACTCTTCTAAATGAACCTGTGTGAACTAACATCATTATACAAAATGACTCTTCTGAATGAACCTGTGTGAACTAACAACATCATTATACAAGATGACTCTTCTAAATGAACCTGTGTGAACTAACAACATCATTATACAAGATGACTTTTCTGAACAAACCTGTGCGAACTTACAACACCATTATACAAGATAACTTTTTTGAATAAACCTGTGCAGAACAACAGCATCATTTATATACAACATAACTTTTCTGAATGAACCTGTGTAGATTAACAACCTCATTATACAAAATGACTTTTCTGAACGAACCTGTGTAAACTAACAACATCATTATACAAAATGACTTTTGTAGATGAACCTGTGTGAACTTACACCATCAATATTTATTTACAGAAACCTTTAAATTGGCTAATTTTTCAATAAATAAATACATAACCTTAAGAAGTACAGAATTTGCAGGAGGGTCATTGACTTTGGGTGTTTTTACCAAATTTAATCAGGGTTATTTTGTCAAAAGTAGACCATCTATCTTAAAAATGATAGGAGGCTGTCATATAATTTTATAAAATTAGTATTTATCATTAAAATAAAGGTCATTAAAATAAAGGTCAGCTTACCTTATTTGGATGTGCCTGTATAGACAAGGAGTTATTAACAGACAACACCTTGAATAAGAATGGAAGGCGGCCATTAAAGTACTCTCTGACCTGTGAACCCAAACAATCTACATTCTGTTTAATCCAATCTTTTAACTTTCCTTTACACTGACCATCTTTGTATATCTCTGAAGGTCCATTAGAATGGGTTCCCATCCATAACTGTGAAGAATTAAGTTATTGTATTTTATTAGCAATATATTTTAAGTACCACCATGACTATGACAAAATTTACTGTTAATTCAGAAATTATTGTAAGGTTTTATTAATGTGAATAATATGACTGGGTGAATATTGCATTCTGATACATATATCTGTATGCAGACTTTCCCAAAATCGCAATAATTAATCTCGCATTTTTGTCCAATCTTCAAAAATCGCAATAATATCTGAATTTACAGTACTTTCTTCACAAGAAAAGGAAAAATATATATGTTTTAAATACTTATATCAATCAAGTGTTTATCATGTTGCTGAGTTGTACCATGCACAAAATTCTTATAACTCATGGGCATGTATTGGGAATCATATGTATGTTATGATATATGACCATACATATTGTTCACTACAATATCTAACCCAAATTAATAACATACCCCCAAAATGAATGGCAATATTCAGTGTTTTTATATATTGAAATGCAATCTCCTGACCACAAAGGGTATCATAGAGTTGTTTCATCTCAAATTACAAGTACCCAGCCATGTCCACTTGTAATTGTAGTATTTGTATTTTTATCCATCTGATGAGTTAAGTCTCTTTCAACTGATTTTTATAGTTCCTTCTTATGTTGTACTGTTACACCACTGTCCCAGGTTAGGGGAAGGGTTGGGATCCCGCTAACATGTTTAACCCCGCCACATTCTGTATGTATGTGCCTGTCCCAAGTCAGGAGCCTGTAATTCAGTGGTTGTCGTTTGTTTATGTGTTACATGTTTGTTTTTCGTTCATTTTTTGTACATAAATTAGGCCGTTAGTTTTCTCGTTTGAATTGTTTTACATTGTCATTTCGGGGCCTTTTATAGCTGACTGTGCGGTATGGGCTTTGCTCATTGTTGCAGGCTGTACGGTGACATATAGTTGTTAATTTCTGTGTCATTTGGTCTCTTGTGGAGAGTTGTCTCATTGGCAATCATACCACATCTTCTTTTTTATATCAGTAGCTATATTTGAAAGTTCTCTTAATTTTACCTCACAAACTACATTAACCTTTAACATTGTTTACCACAACTCGCACAAAATTCTAAAATCTTCAAGGTTTGCACATTATGTGAATTACAAAAGAATCCAATCCCAATAGTCAAGCCATTTCCAACTGATTTTTATAATTTGTCCTATTGTGTTTTATTTTTGAAAAATGTATCCCATTGCAATTCATATGATAATAAAAACATCACAATAATTTCTGTATTTACAGTAAATGGTCTTTTTGGTAGGAAATGACATACAAATCTTCAAATAGGTTGTACATATGATTCAAAATTGCATAAACAAGGGTGGTCTTTATCTTTGAAAGAAGCATATATTGTATATTGCATTCTTGCAGATAGCCTATACAGTACAAAATGGCATACAAAAAGGTCTTTTATATGCTACAAAGCAATCATGGTACAAAAAAGTTATGGAAAGAAATGGAGAGAACAAAATGCTTTTGATATAAAATTACTTTAATTGAAACTCATCATTTTAAAGTTTCAGACCAAATATCAAAAAAAAAAATGAAACTTAAGAAGCAGTTGGCTAGCTTGACCCTTATTTCTGGTGTCAAGAGGCAAATGATTTTAAGATTGAGTCTGGGTTTGACACTAACTTAATTCCTTAATTAACCCATACTAGCCCTAGGTCTAGTTAAATTTTCATTCTACTAGCCCTCCATCAACATCACTAGCCCTTCAAGGCACTTGAATTTGACACGACCCTTGGTAAGGTTCTGGGGGCATGCCTCCCTTAAAGTTTTGAAATAAATGAAGCTAAATTCTGTGTGATGTGTATAACAAATTTTTCATTTTGGGAATGGGTAAACCCTGAGGATTTTTCATGAGAGTATACAATATCGTACGAGTAGAAAAAAGTGGGTTTTCATCAGCTTTTACCATGTTTACGTGAAACCAGGATTTGTTTACAAGTAAAATTTCTGGTTTTAAACAAAATTTGTACTAGCCTTGTGGGACTAGTGTGGTGAAAACTTTACTAGCCCTTCCTAATTTGTACTAGCCTTGGGTAAGTGGGCTAGCATTAGTGTCAAACCCTGATTTGAGAGTCAAGGCCTTTGTGTGGATTCAAAAACCGAAATGGGGATTGGGAGTAGATGGTTCAAGGCTGAAACCAATGTTGAAAAGAGTTTTCAGCATTTACCATTGTTTACAGATACAAAAAGTCTAATTTCATACATGTTTAATTGACTGATAGTTGTTTCTAGTAATAAATATTGCACATTCAGGACAAAAACAATTAAGTTATAAATCAATAGATAGTAACTGCAGGTTTGGTCGATCAAGATTAACCATGGCAACTGGAAAAGGAGGACATGTTAGTGAGTGACAAAAATTTTCCCCTACAAGAGGCATCAATTTGAACATCACTTTTTTTATCATACCTGGCTGTGTATTTCTACATTCTTCACAGCCAAAAGGCCAACCTCCTTAAGCATGGGTTTTACTTGCACAAGGGGGAAGGCCAACTTGAATGCAACTATGCTGGTTAAAAAATTTAATTCTTGGTATTGAAATTAAGACAGTTCCTGATCAAACAAAAAATAAATGTCCACTGCGTTGCACAAGGGGCATAGCTCGTTAAAAATATTTGAACAGCATTTATTTTCGAAAGTGTCAAAGACATTGCTGATATAAACCTATGATATAATTTTTATAAAATTCTGGCAACAATGCAATTTTCCATATAATCGATATTTCCAAAGGGCATAACTCTTTTAAAAATAATTGATCAGCACTTATTTTCGAACTTGTCCAAGACATTGATGATTTAAACCTATAATATAAATTTCATAATAATCTGACAAGAATTGTACACATGAGAGTGCTAACAATGCAATTTTCCATATATATCAATATTTCCAAGGGGCATAACTCTTTTAAAAATAATTGATCGCACTGATTTTCGAATTTGTCAAAGACATTGATGACATAAACCTGTAATATAAATTTCATAAAAATCTGGCAAGAATTGTACAAATTAGAGCGCTCATAAGGCAATTTTCCATATAATTAATATTTCCAAGGGCATAACTCTTCTAAAAATTAATTGATCTGCACTGATTTTTGAACCCATTAAAGACATTGCTGATATAAACCTATGATATAAGTTTCATAAAATTCTGGCAAGAATTGTAAACATGAGAGCGCTAACAATGCAATTTTCCATATAATTAATGTTTCCAAGGGGCATAACTCTTTTAAAAATAATTGATCGGCACTGATTTTCGAACTCGTCAAAGACATTGCTGATATAAACCTATAATATGAGTTTCATAAAAATCTGGCAACAATTGTACATGTGAGAGCCCTAACAAGACCGGACAGAGGGACACCCTTTATTTCTATGTCCCCTGCAACGCATTGCGCGGGGGACAATGACTGACAGAATAATTATCACCTCTAAACACATATTTGTACAGATTGGGTGATCAGCAATGTCCTTGTCTTGTAACTTTATAAGTTTAGGGGTTGTGCCAAGATGCATGGATAGATAATAACTGGATGAACTATGAACTCTGCCTCATATAAATTGAGGCACCTCTTGTTTGAATTATATATTAATTACTAAGTATAATTTGTCCATTACTGTTTGAATTAAAAAATGGAAATATTAGGTTCTACATAAAAAAAAAAATTTTCTGAAACAAAGTTTGTCTAATACTCTTAATCTGTTTTTAACTTAATCATGAGGACTATGTCCAATGTTTGAAACCATCTTCTTCTATTTTGGAATACATGTTGTCTGTTTAATCTCTCTTCATACCCGTCTCTATTGTATAAATTGTCAAACATTTGGTGAAGCAGTTGCTTCATTGCATCAATGGAAGTTAAACTAAAAGTATGAATGGACATAATAATAATAAATTCTTTATTTAAAGAGGGTAAACTCAGTTAGTTACAATAAACTAATCTTCCCTGAGGCCCTCACATACAAATTACAATACAATCAAAAACAGATATTCAGACAGGAAAAAAAAAGAATAATTCAGCCAAATACAGAATCCCAGCCACTCAATGAGTGCGGGTATAAAAACTACATTAATTTTGCATGTCAACAAACTAAATAGTTTACCTCTGCATATGGTTTATTTTCATCAATTTTCAAATTTTTATCAGCTGATGCAGCAAGTTGTGCTACAGCACTTGAAGATCCATGTTTTCCCCATGCATAATTCTGTACAGAACATCTTATTTCAAAAACTGAAAAAAAGTTCAATACTTTATAAAGTAATATTACAGGAATAAAGCATTCCAAGTTATAAATATGCACAAGACAAGCAGACTACCAAATAAATTGTATACTTTGGATTTGTTTATTTCCTTGGGTACTTGTTTTCGTGGATTAAGAAAAACTTGCATTTTTGTGGATATTTGATTTCATGGTTTTGCCAAGGTCTGCATGCCTATAGATAATTGTTGTATTCCATTGAACATTATCAATGTTTGCCTATACCCAACAATGTCTAAGAAATCCAAGAAAATGTGTATCCCATGAATTATAATGAATTCACATTTACAGTAAGTGTCACTGTTGAACCTTAGCATAATTCTACACTTAAATCATATTTTTGAAAGCTAAAATGGTAAAGATCTTATTAAACAGTTACATGAAATTTATGGCTAAGTCTAAAATATGGGATTCAAATAAATTCAAATCATATCATGGGACCTTTTGTCACTAGCTACAAATAGTTAGTATCTTATTCTTTTAGCTAAAACTTAACCATGTTACATGTAATAAAGTACTTGTGGTTAAAATATAAAAATATGGACAAAACTACCTAAACAATTTTATATGTAAATATATCTATATGTTTAAAAGTCTTAGGTTTGTGCAACGATAATGATAACACATGATAGAGTGGTGGATAAGGTACCAGCTTGGGTGTTCAATCCTCATCTGGCAATTCTGGGAGGAAAATATTGCTCTACTGTATTATTTCTCTAAAAAGAACTTTGATATTGTGTCAAAATGGGTGCAATTTAATTATCACCATGCATAAAGCAGAAAAAGCTGACAACACTCTGCTGGGACTTAATATAACCAAATGTGGGTATAGTAAGATCTTACCATACAAATCCTTGATATAACATTGTATATCAGGTGTCAGCACTACAGTAAAAAGAAGATGATGAAAAGACCACTTAACATGATTAATATTGAGAAACATGACAACTCCAGCAAACTCAGTGAAAGCTGCTCTGAAAGGCTCAGCAGTTCTTCCTCCACTAATGACAGCTGTCATGTAATATTTCTTCAAAAACTTTCATTGCAATTTTAATATTTGAAAATAAACTGTTGACACAGAGATTTGTCTTGCCTGACGGAAGAAAATTAAAAAAAAGACAATCTAATGGACAGCAACATTGCTAATCAATTTAAATCGCTGGACAATGACCTAGGGGGCTGGGCCTCTAAATAGTCTTCAAACTGATATGTACTGATAGTAATGCAACTTTTAGAAAGCATCATTGATCTATCACAAGTGGTTCCTATAAAACTGACTTAAGCAGAAAACTTAACATTGAAAATTGCTAATAAATTGAAAGTCAATAGACCATGAACTAGGGCAGGGCCTTGAAATAGTCTTCAAACTGATATGTACTGATAGCAATGGAACTTTATAGAAAATATCATTGCTCTATCACAAGTAGTTCCGAACAGACTGACTTAAGTAGAAAACTTAACATTGAAAATATCTAATTAATTCAGTCACTGGACCATGACCTAGGGGGCAGGGCCTCGAAATAGTCATCAAACTGATATGTACTTGTAGTAATGCAACTTAAAAGAAAATATCATTGATTTAATCATTTATCACAAGTAGCTCCTATCTGAGATAACACATGTTATAGTCTCAGCTCCTATCAAACTGACTTACACAGAAAACTTAACAATTGTTAACACCGCTGCCAATGCCGCAAAGGCAGGAAAAGCAACACCTATGTCTCACTCTGCAAGACTTTTGTCGCAGGCCAGACAGAAACTAAATATCCACATATATGTACAAGTCACAGGCCCTTATCTCAGATTTGTTTAACCTACTTAGCTTTATATCAAGGTATAAAAGTAATAAAAACCAAGACAAGTGCCTGTGATAAAAGTAGTGTTTCTGGCTTTTTTTTCAACACAACTGGGGTTAACACACATATTTGCCCTTCATGATGTATACACACACACGGATTTTAAGTGATTTCCATATTCGATCAGAGTTTTATATCAAATGGGAAAATCCTGTTCGTGCTTCAAAATCAACGATTTCGTAGTTATATCCACTCATTCTCAACTATGTCGCATAGAATCGAACAGATTCCAAATTTAACCAAACTTCTGCAGAAATTCACTTATAAATACCCCTTTCAGTGTCTCCCATCGTGTCTTAGCTATGAATCCTCCGAAGAGAATACTCTATTCGGGTGCTAGTTGACTTTATCATAGCTCTGTGTTATTACATGCCTCTTGATATTTTCCCGCGAATTTATCTGATTCTGAAAGATTATACAACTCTATTGATCTCTATTAGAGGCTATTATATCTATGATTATACTAACTCTTATCGGCGGCTTCTACAAAGCAAAATGGGCTGAAGTCAATAATCTTTAAAAAAAAAAACACTGAACAGAATAATATTTTCAAAATAACCTGTAAATATGTAGAGGGGGATGAGCTGCTGTCCAGAATTGGGTAACTTTATGAGCTTCATATTAAATTGGAACTGGCTACGGTTACATTGAAATGTAACAATAATAAAAAAGTTATTGTTACATTGGAGACTAAATACCGGAATGCAGGGTTGGGTAAGGAACCGATTAATTACGAATATCACAATAATATTTGTGTCTACGGTTACGTTGTGTTATTGTTACATCAATGCACTTCAATGTATGCTGGGACTAGTAATATGTATTAAAATAAAACTTGAAAACTTTTTACAATATTACATGCAATTTTTTTTAATTTTTATTTACCGTGATTTTGAATGATCTACAATGGCAGTTTTGGTAATAGGTATCACTTCATCCATTGTTCAAAGTATAATGACAGAAATAAGGGTACACTTTTCTTCTTTACATAGAACCATCCCCTTGAACTATATTTTTCGCCTTTGGCACTGCTAAACTGTAGTAGTATCTTGAAGAACATTACAACAATTAATACTTAAAACCATTTAAACAATATATTTGTTGAATAAATTAATAATAATAATAATAATATCATTATTATTATTATTATTATTATTACTATTATTATCAAGTACATATTGAAGAATTAAGCAACAAAACTATAGAAGATTAAAGTTTTATAAATCTAACGTAACAATAACACAACGTAACCGTAGACACGAATATTATTGCTACATTCATAATTAATTAGTTCCTTACCCAACCCTGCATTCCGGCAATTAGTCTCCAATGTAACAATAACTTTTCATATTATTGTTACATTTCAATGTAACCGTAGCCAGTGCCTATTAAATGATAAGGTCAAATATCTGGAAAGAGGAATGCCTAACAAAAACAACGATTAAATACTTGTCAATCCGAGAAAACCCTACTGAAAACCCACATAATATCTGGAAATCTGTCAGAAACAATCAGAATGACATTCGAAAAGCAGAAGTCAAAAGCAGGCTTATAACTGGAACCTACATGCTTCAAACAACTAAAGCAAAATTTAGCCTTGAAAAAATCAAACATCTGGAATATGTGAGCTATGTACCAAAGCTGAAGAGGACATTAAGCACTTTTTGCTGGAATGTGAGTCTCTGGAGAGTGTTAGACAAAAACAGATGAACAATCTTCTATCTTTAACCATGTTGAAAGGGGGAGGTGGTAAAGCTAATTATACAGAGGAGGATGTGCTTCAAATTATAATGGACTGCTCGAAGTTATCAACAACTACCTTATCCCATCTAAAAGCAGATGACCTGATAGAAATAGAAAAACAATGTCAAAATTTCTGTCATCAAATGCATAAGAAACGCACCGAAATACAAACACGATGATACATTAATTAGAGGCTGAATTGAAACTGCTGAAACATCCAAGTACTTTTCTTCAAGGCCCTCAACAATGTGAATTTACATTTAAACAACAACAATTTTACTGTATCCAGCTCTACAAACTAATATAATGCATATACAAAACAGGAAAGATGGACCAAGCAGTCTGCATGGAATGCCAAGCTAACTGCCTCCATCCACGACTAGATTAGCTGCTTACATCTAATTATATGCTTAGACCTTGGCAGGGGATCACCTTATTTCCAAATTTTACGATATATGATAAATTTATAGTAACTGATATATATTTTATTTTTGATAATCTCGTCTAAAGCTGATACCATACTGACACAATTTAATCCCATTCTTTTTGTTTTGTTTTAATTAACTTTGTTTTTACCTCTTTATCCTTTTATTTATATTCTTTTATTTTTCATATTTTAAATCTTTTAACTTATTAAACATATGGTATACTATAAACATTCCATTGTCTCATTAAAAGGAATCCAAATGGTATTTAAATCATAAATTTTAACCTAGGTAGATCTATAAATGATGTAAATAGCACATAATTTTAAATACTTGTTTTTAAAATTCAAAGTCTTACCTGTATATAAAGTTTTTAAACTTAAGCACCCCACCACACTGTGGCCTTATGTCCTCCCACTGGGGATGAAGAGGATAAGTAAGTAAACCCCACCACACTGTGTAAATATTTGTTTAAGCATTAAACCTATATCCCAAGTGGGAGTGCTCCGATATATAACGGAGGAACAATACCTGTACAGAACAGAATAAGGTCGAGAAATTAATATGAAATATCTGAAAGGCTGCTAATCAGATGTCGATTTTTTCACAGATGCGATTAAATATGCAGTCGTAAATGCATCAGATATTTGTCATATATATCAATTAATCTCTCCATATACATATTTATTTTTTTTGTCAAGAAATATATGATAGGGAACGTTTTTTGTGATTCAAGATAAATAAAAAGGGTGTGATACTCACTGTCTAGAGAAGAGAGAATAATGGAAAAAACTGAAATATTGAAAGAATAGAGAAAAATTAGCGGTCTTGAAAATGTTTTTGAAATACAGAAACGATCGAAGGACTCCCCATTCTGACCAGCATCATTTATAAACTACTGATATTGTATAATCGTTTGGATAAGAGCATATATACACCTTATTATCTATGGTAGATAGTTGTCTCTTTGGCAGTCATACCAGATCTCCTTATTTTATATTATAACGGTATGCCAGACGCGCGTTTTTGTCTACAAAAGACTCGCTAGTGGCTTTTGAATCAAAACCGCTGAAAGAAAGAATCAAATTCGAAGTTGAAGAGCAGTAAGACCGAAATTTCAAAATGTTTGTGCCTATTACAGCTAGGGCAATCTATATAAAAATAAGGAGATATGCCAATTACACAACTAGCCACCAGAGTTCAAATGAAGTGGATGAAAGAAATTATAGGCCACTATGTGCCTTGGAGAATAGACCAACCTTAATGTTTCGAATAATTCAACATTTTGTAAAATTAAAGAAAATGAACATATCAATGATACTCCATGTCAGCAAAAAAATCTGACTAAGTACTGGTATGGTGACCCTTTGGGATCGAAACTTCCACCATCAGTGGCATTGACCCAGTGGTTGTAAAAACTCATAAAAGATACCAGGCATACAACTTGGTTCGTCAGACGCGCGTTTTGTCAGTCGTTCGAATAAAAACAGATGGAAAGCCAGTACGGAAGCACTATATGCCCACAAGCAGCGGTACTTACCTAATGCTGTACAACCAGTCTGCAGCAGCATTTTTTGTTGATAATAATAGTGTTTGTGTGATAAATCCCGACCCTCCACCATGTACTGTTCAACATAGAGCCTTCTTGCTTTCCAGAACGTTTGAATATTTTTTATTGAAAATGTAAACAAAGGTTGACCACACAATTTATCACTTTAAGAAATTATTATGCGCAGTTCACCCTACTATACCGAAAAATTTGATTAGAGAATTTTTACATGAACTTTTAATATTTTGGGCCTTTTGTCAAACAGCTTTCATATAAATGTATCATGTACTGTTATGTTCACTAATTGATATACAGTTATGTTTGTAATCATTCCCTAAATGGGCCTTTAGTTGGTAAAACTATTGCATTGTCTTGGATTGTGTATACTGATGCATGCAGTCATCATGTTTAGTAGACCATACTGTACAGCCAATTTCACATTGAGGGTTTATGAATGAAATGGGATTTTAGTTTTGAATATACCATTGTATGGATGTACCTCATGAATGCTGTTGATGCTACGGATTTTTATGAGTATTGTGTTTAATATTCTGTTAGATAATACAATGCTAGATCAATATATATCACATTCGATGTTTAGGAGAAAATGTTTCGCAACTCTCTTAATATCTGCCTTTGTATCGAAGTATACTCTTTTAAAAGTGTTACAGAGTTACATATAGCAGTGGAGATAGTTTGCTATGGGGTTAACAATCTTGTTTTTGTGATATTTAAGTTCATTAAACATAGTTAAGAATCGCAGCAGCATTCTTTTTGATGGAGGTTACCCATTGTGTGTCATTAAATCCTCTAAGAGTTCAACATGAGCCTTCAAACTGTTTTATAATGTGTTTTTTTTTAATTCAGGTAACATTCTTGTATGAAAAAAAAAATTTTGTAAAATGTACCCAATTATTAAAATCAAAGTTAACTTTTCGGATCTGAGCGTTCCTGTTGAAGGTAATAGTCAGGAATATGACGGTTGGTTTCCATTCGTTCCGTTGGTTGATGAAGTCAGATTTTGTCAGTTTTTATGACTTACCCTTTTTGTTTTTACCTTGGAGTTCTATATTTTTGTGATACTTTTTTAATACAGAAATCCCCATCGTACTCTGGAAACTCGATGCGTTTTGTTTTGATAACAAACGTCCTTAGGAACATAATGATATAATATAAGTTGGAATTTTGGATCCTCAATGCTCTTCAACTTCGTACATTATTTGTCCTTTTTAACTTTTTTGATTCGAGTGTCACTGGTGAGTCTTTTGTATACGAAATATAAAGGCAACGCGCGTCTGGCGTACAATATTTTAATCCTGGTATCTACGATCAGTTTATTGGATATATAAAATTCGATACATTTGTATATAACCAAGGGAGACATAAAATCGTGTATTCTTCTCTTTTGATTAAATATTACGGTATAAACAATAAAAGCTCGACTTCGATACAAATATCGGAAATTTTATGTTATTGAAAAACTAGTAATTTTCATCGAAATACTCGGGAACCTAACTGAATTAGCTTTTAACTCAAAATAACAATGACAGCTGTTATTATGTAATTATTCACACTTCGGTTTCAAAGGCACTGGCGAC